ACCTTCCTTCCGAGGAGTGGCTGGTGGGTTTGAACCGCCAGCCTTCTGGTTAGCAGTCAAGTGCCTTAGGCACTGTGCTACCAGAGCTCCTAGTATAGCCCATAGATATCAATATTGCATTTCTAGAACATGAACTCGTCATCTTCCCTATACACCTGGTTCCTTAACCAGCCAGCACCCTAATGCTGCCACTTGGGTCTAGAATTCCAGTATCATTTTGCCACTAGGTCACACCTGTCCCCACCCCTAGCCAAGCAGCCCTGGAACCCTTGGACACTTTCTTCCTCCCCTCTACTCCTAACACCACAGCTCCTTCTTTGTATATCCCATTACAGCACTTTGATTAGTAGTAATCCCTCTGCTCTAAGGACCATCTTTAGTAACTTCCCTTTCCTTTATTGTAAAACCCAAGTATATTCTCTGGGCAGTCATTTCCCTGAGCAGTCTGGTCTTAGTCTTCTGCCTGGCCTTGGTCCACGTGGCTGTTCCATGTGAATCTTCTCAGCACCACCTGTGTGTCTTTGGGCATGTTAGTCAACCTCTCTGAACCTAAATTTCTTCAGCCATGAAGCAAGGGCCCTGATGCCAAACTTACAGGCTCTCATGAGGATTTACTAAGACACTGTGCATTAAGTGCCTCTCATAAGGAGTGGGCCGCCAGTGGTACCTGGACCCTAGGACTTACCACTTGCACTTTGGCTGCTCTTCCTTATACCCCAGCTTCCTGGGAATGGGAGGACCCTTGTGACTGGGCCTGGTGTGCTGCTCAGGCTAGATGTCATGCTGATACCAAACCAAAACCAAACTCACTGCTGTGAAGTTGATTCTGATTGGTAGTGACCTTGTAGGGCAGAGTAGAACTGTCCCATAGGGTTTCCAAGGTGAAAATCTTTACAGGAATAGTCTTTTCTTTCTCCCACAAAGCAACTGGTGGGTTCAAATTGCCAACTTTTTGGTTAGCAGCCAAGTTCTTTAACCACTATATCACCAGAGCTCCTGTCATGCTATTAAGTAGGTAAAAATGGTGAAAAATCCAGTGAAAATAGTTAAGATTTCACAGGGGGTAAGATTTTGGAGCTCTGGTAGCATAGTGCCTAAAGTATTTGACTGCTAACCAGAAGGCTGGCGGTTCAAACCTACCAGCCACTCATTGGAAGGAAGGTTGGGCAATCTACTTCCATAGTGATATCGTC